TTGACAAGTAAAGGGGTTACCAGAAGACCAAAGAGCGGCAAGGGTGCTAAACCACAACAGCCTTTACAATTGTTGCATATGGACGTGTGTGGCCCAATCAATTATGGGTCTATTGATTCGAGCAAATATTTTCTCACTATTGTCGACGGGTATTCCAAGTTTGTGGAGGTCAAGTGTTTGAAAAACAAGTCAGAGTGTGCTGACAGGATTATTGAGTTTATTACATACACCGAAACAATGTTCAAGTCTCAGGGAAAAGAGTTTACCGTGGGAACTATCCGCACTGATAATGGTGGTGAATTTGTTACAGGAAAGTTGCATGATTTCATGAGAAGCAAAGGTATTGCCCATGAGTTGACTGTGCCACACCATAGTTATCAAAATGGTGTTGCTGAAAGAATGCATCGGACAATTCAAGACAAAACTAGGTCTTTAATTATTGGGGCTTCTATGCCGGTTCAGTTTTGGTCTGAAGGTGTCCGCACGGCTGTTTATTTGATTAACAGGACGCCATCCCGCGTTATTAATTTCCACACACCATATGGTCGTTGGTATGGATACAAGCCGGGCCTTGACCATCTTCGCTGCTTTGGTTCCCTTGCATATGTGGTTATACCAAACAGTTTGAGAAATGGAAAATTTGATGCTACCGCCAAGGTTGGAGTGATGCTCGGGTATGATAGAGATCACTGTGCGTACAGAATTTTTGATCCTGCTGCCAACAAGATTATTGTGGCGACTCAGGTCAGATTTGATGAGTCAAGATATTACTATCAGGATGTGAAGCGAGTCACTGATGTGGATACCGAGATTGCTAAGGTAAGCAGCTCTGGTGGTATGGGTTTTGCTGGTGGCGTTGCACCAGGCCCTGTTATAAGTGATCCAGACTTAGAGGATGTTGCAAGTGAGATCTCGGTTGATGATGAACGAATGGTTTCCGATTTGGATGATTCAGAAAGAGAGTCCACTGTTTCCTCAGGCAAAGACGTGGAAATGAGAATCATAGACGATGATGAGGATGCCACTGGAGAGTTAATCCCATCAAGGATGGTTTCAGAAGAGTTCAAGTTGGTTACTGCTACAAAAAGGAAAAGATCATCGGGTTCTAGGCCCAAGAAAAGTACAGGTTTGATTAAAAGAAATCCATTTGGGATCTTGGCAGAAGTTGAACAAGAATCTGATACATTCAGTTTAGATTCAGAGAGGGAAATTGCTATTGAGAAACCACAAAGGAAGAAATACAGAAACGACAGTAGCTCAAAAGAGCTTACTTCTTTTGTTCCTAATGGTAGTAGCAATGACAACTTGGTGGTTTCGGAAATTGAGCCACATGTTGAACAGCCAAGTGATTGTGATGAGGAATCAGAACTGAATGATGATGCCGAAGGCAAGTTGTTAGAGTACAAACCTGTGAATTATGTTGCCTCTTGTTTTATGGCTGGTGAAGCTGCTGCTTTGGCTGGTGGAAGTGATGTTCCTGGAAATTATAAGGAAGCCATGAAGAGCAACGAAAGTGCAGAATGGAAGCGCGCTTGTGACGAAGAAATTGCGGCTCACAAGGAGAATTCCACTTATGAATTGGTCGAGTTGCCGAAAGGAAGAAAGCCAATTACATGTCGTTGGGTCTTTGCAAAGAAAGATAACGGAGTCTTCAAGGGAAGACTTGTTGCTCGAGGATTCACACAGGTGAAAGGTATTGACTACAATGAGACATTCTCACCTGTGGTGCGTTATGAATCTATCAGGTTGATGTTGAGTATCGCTGCCAAGAATGGAATGGCAGTTCATCAGATGGATGTTAAGACAGCTTTTCTCAATGGGTTTCTTCAAGAAGAATTATACATGACACAGCCGGAAGGGTATGTGGTTAAAGGAAGGGAAACCAGTGTCTTGAGATTGAAGAAAAGCTTGTATGGTTTGAAACAGGCTCCCTTGGTGTGGAATGAAAGAATCCACAGTGTTTTGTCGTCGCTTGGTTTTGTCAGAAACGGTGCTGAATATTGTCTATATTCAAGGAAATCCGAAAAGTCTTTTGTGATGGTTGCGCTTTACGTTGATGATTTATTGATAACTGGTACCTCAGATTTTGCCATCAGGAAAGTGAAAAGTGAATTGATGAATGTCTTCAAGATGAAGGACTTGGGAATAGTCAGGAAATTTTTGGGTATCAACATCTCGCAAGATAATGGAGGTATTAACATGAGCTTGAAAGACTATATTGGCTCTATGTTAAAGGAATTTGGAATGGAGAATTGCAACCCAGATAAGACGCCTACTATTGCTGGTCAGGAGCTCACCTTGGTGGACAACAGTGCTGAGGATTGTGATGCCACAGCTTACAGATCTTTGGTTGGAAAATTATTGTTTGCTGCTAATACTGTTAGAAGCGATATCAGCTATATCGTCGGTGTTCTATCCAGATACCTCAAGGAACCAAAGGAGGTGCATTATAAGGCAGCAAAGAGAGTTTTAAGATACTTGAAAGGAACCAAAGATTTGGGAATAAGATATGAGGCTGGCAATAATGATAACGGTGAGCTTCTTGGATACTGTGATGCTGACTGGGCTGGAGATAAGTCAGACAGAAAGTCTACTACTGGGTTTGTGTTCAAATATGCCAATGGTGCAATCACATGGAGATCTAAGAAGCAAGCTACTGTTGCTCTTTCTACGGCAGAGGCTGAATACATGTCACTAAGTGAAGGAGTCAAGGAAGCATTATGGCTAATGCAAGTGTTCAAGGAATTTGGGATCAATACTGGTCCAGTGAGGATGTTTGATGATAACCAAGGGTGTATTGAAATGGCAAAGCATCCAGCTTTCCATCATCGCACCAAACACATTGACATCAGGACTCACTTTATCAGGGACCACATTGGATCTGGCTCTATCAATTTGGAGTACTTGAGCACTGGTGTTATGATTGCTGATATGTTTACGAAAGGTCTTGCTGCCCCTCAATTCTTGGAGTTGAGAAGGCTCTGTGGTATGGAGACTTTGAATTGAGAGAGGGTGTTGAGTTGGCAATCCAAAGTTATGTGGTTAGTCATTGTTCATGGAACCTTCTAGAATTCCATGGAACATTCTAGAGCTTATGGAACCTTCTAGAACTCATTGAGATTAATATAAATATGGGCCATGCCCCCCATAGTCTGAGTTTGTCCTTTATATAATTTAGATAGTTAACAAGTAAAAACAAGTATAACAAGGGAATAAATATTATTGAATATTAGTGTTATCAATGTCTTTTGTAACTAGAGTTACAAAACTACAACAATTTCTACTGATTTTATTAATGAAAACTCCGAAAACCAAAAAAAAATCGAAAATTCTCAAAACCCAAAAAAAAATTCTGTTTCTGTTCCTTCTGTTTCTGTTCCTTCTGTTTCTGTTCCTTCTGTTTCTGTTCCTTCTGTTCCTGTTCCCTCTGTCTCATCTTCTACTGTCGCCTCTCCAACTACGGCCTCCAATCCGGTGGCTCCAGCTGTCAATGTGACAAGACCAATCCAAACCTATGCTCAAGCCACCGCTGGAGACAAGCGCACACCTCGAGCCACTACAAACACCAATGATCCATCCTTCCAAAACGTGTTGATGAAATTTGAAAGAACTTTCAAATGGGCAAGTCACATCAAAATCCTTGACTTTAAGCACCGCGACGTTTTGGAATATGCCATAAGCGAGAAACGCAAATCAGGAAAATTGTTCTCCACCTCCAATCCTGCTATTATTAAATCCAAAGAAAAACGCGAGGAACTCGTCAAGATCATGGAAATTGAAGATTTCTTCCAAAACTACACCAGTTTTAATATGACAAACGAATTCAACAGATTGAGAAACTCTAGAATCAGCTTGGAGAACTACTTGGAATTTATCATGAGCCAACAGCATCTTAAGGATATCTTAATCTACTTTAAGATCCCAAAAGATATCTTTACAGAGTTTCCTCTTGAAACACACTTGGAATCCATCAAAAACGGACTCACTAAGTTATCCAAAGAACTTGATACTATTACACAGTCATCCAATGAACCAGATAAAGATTTGATCATAATCAGGGAAAACTTAAAAGGGGCCCTCAACCACTTGGTTATTTTTAATAAGAAGATCTGCCTTAACTCAAACTTCATCCCAAACCCTCAGGATACAGGCTCTGATATCTTCAAGAAGGACAGAAATCTTTTAATTGAATATCTTAACATCCACCTTAAAGTTACAGTTGGAAATTATACCTACACGCCAGGGTCTTTGTTAAACACAATGAATAAGGAATCCCATTTAATTGAGATTGAAATGAATTCCGAGTTTACTGAATTTAATCGGGAAAAACTTCTTGACCATGTCTTCAATGAATCCGGAATTGATCCATCATCCTTCTTTCCAATCAACACCGTTCACTTTACAGAAGAAGCTAGCAAAGCTGCCAGTATTGTCACTTATGGTTATATTGAAATTGACTCAGGAAAATCCCTTCCACTCTTCAATGACAAAGATTTCCGCTCCAGAGTCATCACGAAATGCGTCCACTGCACTGCATGTGGTTCCCGTGAACACACTCGTTTTGACTGCAAGACTTCATCTTGTGCCATTTGCAAGAAATTATCCCATAGGGCAAAAGATTGTTATTTCAAAAAGCAACAAAGAGCACCAATTGTGAATCCGGAAGATCCAGAAAAACACTCTCCGAAACAAAATTCTGGAAAAGCAGACAAACCAAACCACAATTTAAACTATGGTTTTCAGACTGTCGAAAAAAGAAAAATAAAACTGAATAAACCGGCTTCTCCAGAATATTCTAAACCACATTCAAACCCTTTTGACTTATTGGCAAATGAAGAAGAAAATGTTGATGATTCAATTATTGATGAGGACGATACTTTGGAAAAGAACTACCCATCCAATGATGAAGATGCTTTAGAGGAAGGCCTCTCTACTGACGCAGACCAATCCATGGATGAACTCGAAACCTCTACAACCCAACACACTGCTACTCTCAGACATCAAACCAAACCAATAGAATTATTGTCCAAGAAAGGTAAATCAAAGAAGCACGCCAAGTTCGCGGCCATTAGCGCCATCAAGCTGGCCCATATTAGCAAGGTCTCCAAAAAGATCCTCGCCTCACCTTCATCCCACCCTCAGGTCCGTGTTTCTCGCAGACATCAAGAAGTAAACTCACAACATCATACTACTTCTTCTGCTGCCAACATTCCTCCTTCACCTACCCCTGCCCGTGATACTGTCACTTCCTCGGCTCTGGCCACTTCTTCTATCCCTGCTTCTGTCCCTGCTTCTGTCCCTGCTTCTGTCCCTACCTCTGTTCCTACCCCTCTTACTACCTCACCTCATTCTACCTCACCTCATTCAGCTTCCCCCTTCTCAAAACATACATCTATCCTGGAAAACTCAGACAAAATGCCCACGCCACTGGAATCATTTACTCCCCGGCCAATGAAGCTTCTGTCAAAAGAACAATCTTCCCCCCTGGATGATAACAACAACGAAATAAATTCACCTCAATCAGATGGCTCAAATGTCACAAAAAACGCCTCTCATACACAAAATGAGTAAACTATCGATCATTAGTCAAAACATCCAAAAATTGAGATTGGATGACTCCAAAATTCTCCATCTATCAAACCAATATAACATTTCAATGTTTCAAGAACTTAATCTTGGCGAGGACTTCCTCTTCCAACACCAAAACAAAAAAATTTATAAAAATACTCCATCATCCCGCACAGCTATTATAATTGAGGACCACATAAAGGTCGTTGATCATTCATTGCTAACAATTGCAGTACTGAGCCAGCTCCAGGTTTATATCACAGATGCCATTATTGAACAAGATGCCAATAACTGGCTTTGGCTAATCAATATCTACAACCCATCTGCTGATTACCAAAAACAAATCCTCCTTCAAAATCAACTCTCCATCACCCTCCAAACCCAGCTTACCACTCTCAGAGCGAGAAGCAACAATAAGACCATCAACATTATTCTCGGAGGTGATTTTAATAATTTTGTCAATTCAAGAGACTCTGCTAACTTCCGTTCTCGCGAACAAAGATCGTCCGAGTCGCTTAAAAAGCTAATCAAAACTTTCAAGCTAGCAGATATCTATGAACATCCAAAATTGCACCAGATTAAAAAGAATTGGACTAACCAATCCACCACGGAAGAAAGTAGTCGCAGAATAGATCGTTTTTATATCAGTCAGTCCATGATCTCCGACAAAAACAGATTTCATATTCAAATGTCCCAACAAAACTATCTAAAGTCTTCTTCAACTCACGATTCTATTATTCTTGAAATCAACACTCAACCTCATGCAATGACTTACATCCCCCAACATAATATCATTAAAAATCATATTATTCAATGGCTTCTGAAGATCAAGTTTCCACCCACTGTGAACTCTACTTCAGACCTCATTTCCGAGATTCGCTTGAAGCTGAATTTTTTGACGATGGTACACAAGAAAATAACAGAAAATACTGATGAACCAAATTATTATGACCACATAAAAACTAGGTTCCACCAACACTCCAGACCGCGCCCAATCAAAGCCCTCAAAGCTTCAGATGGCGCTTTATTGACATCACAGCAAGACATGCTTCTAGAAGTAACCAATTACTATCAAAAACTCTACGATGGATCTCGTGGTTCAAAAAGCTCGGAAAATATAGAAAGGTTCATAAACGCCTCCTTGGGAGATCAGTTACCACTAACCAACACTGAATCCAACAACTTGAACAAACCAATCACCATGACAGAATTGGAATATGCCGTTACTGAATCCAATACTCAATCCGCCCCCGGGGTAGATGGTATACCATACGGCGTTTATAAGTCTCTCTTTCCTCAGATAAAACACATACTTCTAAAAGAATTTAACCAAATTCTTTCTTCAGGGGAAATTCCATTCAACTATCGAACCATAAAATCCACTCTCATACCAAAACCAAACAAAGATGTTCAAAAAGTGGAGAATTACAGGCCCATAGCATTAATCAACACAAATTTGAAACTCTTTTCCAGCATCATCAACGCCCGTTTGCTCCCGTTCTTGCAAAAAATTATCGGCCCAAATCAAGTTGGTTTCATACCTGAAAGATCCTCCTTCTCTAATATAACAATTTTCGGTGACTTGCTTTCCAGTTTAATATCCCCACAAGACAAGCCACATGTCAATCATTCTACTAACCACCGAATCATGCTTGCTGACTTTGAAAAGGCTTTTGACCAGATTTCCCATCTATACCTTAAAATATTACTTCGAAAACTCAATTTTGGAAAAATGACGGAAACTAATCACGCTATCCTTACCAAAGCCCTCGGAACCATTTGCCTAAATAACATTACAGGCCCTTCTTTCCCATTAAGAAACGGAACCCTTCAGGGCAACCCACTTTCACCAACAATTTTCGCGTTAGCCCTTGAACCTTTTCTAAGAGCCATCCAAAGATTAAATAAAGGATTCAGTTACAACCATAAGATCCAACCAAACATCATCCCCAGAGTCAAATACCTTGCCTATGCAGATGATGTTACCTTATTCTTGAGAGATCATAATGACTTCAAAAACACTATGAAGATAATTCAGGCGTTCGAACAAGTCAGTGGTTCTAAATTAAACAAAAGCAAATCCAGATTAATTGTTCCATGCGATCAAATACCATTCCAGTCCGACTTCCAAATAGATATTGCTGACAATAATTATGAAATCCAATATCTAGGCGTTAAAATTGGGAACTCGTGTCAAACCTGGCCTAATACTCTCCAAAAAGACATCAGCACCAAATATTACATGACCAACATGAGTTCACTACCAATATCAAGTCAAATAGTCGGATATAACACATATATCTTGTCTAAGCTATATTACCACGAGATTCATGCACCTATGCTTCCAGACCAAATAGATTTGCTAGAACAATCCATCAAAAACCAGGTGAACAAAAAACTGAAAATCTCCATGGACACTTTAAAAACAAGCCCATTGAAAGGAGGATATGGCATGGTGGATATCAAAAGCCAATTGAGCTACCGCAAGGCAAAAATCTTTAAACCCATATTGCCAGTTACTCCGATTCAAGCTCCAACTAGCAATAAACATGATCATCAAACAAAATCTATCCGAGGAAGAGCAGTCGATACAAGGATATATAAAAACCCAATACTGGTGGCGGTTAATATTGGGTGACCAGATCAATATCAAGAATAAGAGAGACAGCAGGTCCATACTCAACCAGGTTATAAATCTTCCAATGTTTACCACAGCGGAAAAATGTGCTTTTGTGGCTTGGTATAAATTATTGTCCAAACCAATATCTCAACAACAAACATTGAACCCAATGAATATCAAACACTCAGACCTTGCCAAGTCCATTCAAGACGGTATACCAACTATCTATCAAATGGAGATCCCAAAACTGGTCATGGAGTTTGAACACAAACAGGGAAGCAAGAAAAAAAGAGCCAGAATTGATAAACATAAATTATCCACCACTTTAATCAATATCCAAGAAGTCACCCAAACGAAACAAAACTCTTTCTGGAAGAGACTCCACAAATACCAACATAATAGCCCTGGTTACTTTGAAAACATACACATATTCCACTTAGGTGCTGAACAATTTTTTTACCAACATAGAAAATGTCACTATTGCGGGCTCGAAACCGTCTCTCAAGACCAACAACATGAATCACCAGAACTCCAAGTCAAGATCAAAATGACCCATTTCCTAATTCAATGCCCATTATCAACCGAGTTATGGTCAAGATTGAATATCCCAATTCCATTAGCATGGAATAACTTAATCGCTCCCAATCATTCAGAATCAACAATCAAAAAGATCGACCGCTATCTATGCTATCAACGCAAACTCTCACGCCTAAGATATCATAACCAAATTGATTGGAACACATCAATTAACAACTTGATTTATATCATTACTACTGGGAGCTGAATAGTCGATCAAAACAAAAAAGAAAAAAAAAATTAACAAAAACAATAACAAAAAAAACATTTTATTTAAATACTAATAATTATCACTAAAGGGTTTTTCACCATAGGATATAGTTTTCCCTAACATATATAATGAGCATTAGCTTATAAGATTTTACATAGATATATATAATTATATATTTATTAATATATCGAACTTTGAAGAAAAAAAAAATATCTCTTACATATTTGGTGACAGTAAAATTATACTCTTTTTATCAGGATCGTATTTATGTAGATCTAGATGTTTTATTACTGAAAACTATACAGTGTTTTCATTTTTTATTCGTACCAACCACCGGAAATGTTCATACCAGTGGCAAAAAATAATTCATACCGACCCCCGGTATTTTTCGTACCACCGCAGCGGGATTTATTCAAACCATCTAAGAAAAATAGTTCATACTATTGCACTTCAATTATTCATACCAACAGTATATAAAATTCATATTAATTCCTTTCTTTTTTTTATGTGACTGGCTCTATAAGCCTCTAAGCTACTCAGTTTAAACAAATTATACTCATTTTTTCCATAATTCTGTGCTACTTTCTATAAAACCGGATATCTATAATAATATCAATAATATCACGTGATTACGGTTTTCAAGAAATGGGAACGAATGTATGGTAGGAGCTGTTCTCCATTTAAGATGATGAATTCCCACTTTTGACATTCAATTCGGTCTTTATATGATCACCAGATTACTTACAAAAAAAAGCATAAGATTTTACCATCAAAACTAAGTATGGACTTGAAAGCCAAGCTACTAACTGATGGGTATGTTGATGGCCTAGGTAATAGATTCTATACTGAACCAAGTGAAATGACTTTAGAGTCTGAAATAGCACCAGTTGAAGCTTGCTTTAGTTACAGTGACTATAAGCATTTTGAAAAACCAGGTATCATGGATATCATGGAAATTGATCCTATTTTCGAAGAAGAAGAAAATGCCGAGATGGAAATTGAAATGAAAGAACGAAGATATAGAGGTTCGTACCGGTATTATAATCAAGCTGTCAAACAAAGATTTTGGCACTTGGTCATGGAAGAAGGTGTATCAGCTTACAAGGCTGCAAAATTAGAAGATATAC